GCCACTAATTATAAGATGCATTTTATATATCAATTAACTAAATAGTTGGTAAAAAATATTTAAGTAAGTGTTAAAAGTTCAAAATTTTCGTAAAGAAAATGCTAGTAAAATTTTGTTGTTTGTCAACTAAAAGGACCAAAACGTCCCTTTCTTTTTCATGCAACCTATCTGCAAGCCACCAGCATTCCTGCAATCTACCACCACCACATTGCCCACCTGCAAAGCCATTTTGCTAATAATGCAACATTCTCATACACCAATGCATGTGCTGCAATATGAATTCATCGAAATTTTGCAAAGTTCTATTTTCCTCTTTTGAGGAAGCCCATGAATAAATGCCCATCCAAGAATTCACATTTTGGTCCCCCTCTCAAGGGCAAGTTCTTACGAGTTACTCAATCCACGAAGCTGCATCCTTATCACCTGATCCTGCACATCAGTCTCTTCGAGAGGTTGGCTGTCTATCCAAGACCTTCTCACTTGCAAGAAGATCCGGGCTCGATCTCTTAATTATCAAGGTGATTCTCTTGCTCTTTCTACAGGGATAATTTCAAAAACCTTTGACTATTTCACTGGCCTTCCTCTAGATTTCGAAAATTACACTAACCTCGCTTGGTTAATTATTCTGTAACATTTAGATCTAATCAATAATTAAAAAGTGATATTAGGAAAGAAAAGATAATATGATTTCATTATTGCCCCTCTTCGATCGCATTATTTAATTAATCCAATATCAAGCCACACATTAAGGAAAAACACTAAAATTTGCTATTTATTATTAGGGATCAAATCTTATATAGCATCGAAAAATCGTATCTCATTTTATATTTTTTACTTAATATTAGATCCAAATTACTTTTTTTAGCTACATATTCATTGTTAAACACGATCAACAATAAATAATCAAAAAATTTGCAACTAAAATATTACAAAAAACAAACTTTAATATCATAAATATTCTTGTCAGCATATTAAGGATAGTTGTTGAGATTTTTATGGTATTAATGTTTGCTCTTTGTAATATTTTGATTATAGATTTTTTTAATTATTTGTTGATGATCTTGTTTGCCAATGGATTTGTAACTGAAAAGAGTAATTTCAATTTTACATTAAGTGAAATATATTGAATGACATACTATATTTGATACCATATGTGATTTAATTCCTGATAACAGTGTTTTAAAAGGCGTTCGTAGGATGAGTGTCAGGGTAAAGCGTTCCAATACTGCCCCTGTCCCTGGGAGGTCACATAAGGTGAAAGTGTTCTAGGGCATATGTCCAAGTGTTTGGGTGTGCCTCTGAAGTGGGGCATTAAAAGCATGCACCTCACAAATTATACTTCAAAAAAAGGAAAAAAAGATTTAACTTCATCAATTAAGTTTTTAGCTTTTTATTATTCAACTTTATTACTAATTTACTATCTATTATATTGAGGCATAGAGTGAATTTATTTGAAATATAATATATGGTTAGGCAAGAAAGATAAAGGAAAAGAGATTATTACCTATAGATTGGATCGTATAATATGATGAAAATTTCGGAACCATCATCAACTATTAGAAGAAAATTACCTACTGTATATACACTAGATGAAGATGATGACATGGATGATATTGACTTTGATGAATAGTATCATTTTATTTGTCAGTTTGTTTCTAATTATTGGTGCTATTCCTTGTTATGTATTATAATTAAGCAATATGGTTGCTAATTTGGTATTCTATTTTTCATGCTAGTTAAGTGTGTTTATTGAAACAATTAACCTTTGAAATTTGTGTTTATTTGAATTTATGTGTTTGTGATTTAAGTGCTTGATAATGTGGTGGCTTCTGAGTTGTGACTAGTTTTTTTTAAGATTGAACTTTTTGTAATGTTAATTATTCTACTTTTTTGTGCAGCTAATATTAATATATATATTTTTCTTAAATTATTAGTTGGAGTTATACAATAATAATTCTTTTCCTGTATAAATTTTCTTAATTTTATCTAATTTTAATATATTTATTTATATCTTCAAATGACTTTGATAATATATATATATCATATTTATATATATTTAAAAAATAAAAATTTGTGAGGCTTACATCTCACGCCTTGGGGCTTTCGCCTCATTGCGGCAGATACTAAATGTCCTGCCTAACGTTTTCGCCTTTTAAAACATTGCCTGATAATAAATAGCAAATTCTAATATTTTCTTTAATGTTTGGCTTGGTATTACATTAATTAAACAATTTAGTAGATCAAGAGCAATGGTGGAATCATACTCTCTCTCTCTCTCCCTCTTTTTTTTTGTGGTATCTCTCTCCCTTTCCTAATATCACTTTTTTATTATTAGTTGGATCTAAATGTTACAAGATAATAAATCTCAAAAGAGGTTAATGTAATTTTCAAAATTTGAAGGTGTGAGGTTTAGGAAATTATCCCTTTTCTATATGTATAGATCCTTGTTAACAAATCTATTGGCACTCCATCTATGTGCAAATTTATTGAGAGCCTTGTCCAATCTAAAATTCGATAAGGTCATAATAGTATTGGACTTATGGCCCAACCTTGGTATTGTGTAGACTACAACACGTTTATATTATATATATATATATATATATTTTTTTTATAAAAACTGAACTAATTAACAGAGGTTCATCCTGGCTTTCGTACCCACTAAGGCGACAGTCAAAAGGTAAGGGTCTCAGGAATGAGATGAGACCAAAATAGGAGCCGACCATGGGCGGAGCCGCGGAGGGATGACTTGCAATGACCAAGTCAAGCTGGCAAACTGGTGGAGATGTAGTGGAGGCACTGATTGTGCCAACTTTGTCCGGTAGCAGGTGATGGACTAGCTGAAAACAGCTGCGGAACGGGACACTTGGCACTCATGTAGCCTGGGCAAGGGGATCAAAAAAAGGGGAGCATTCATCATTGGAAAGGGGATCATTCATCATTCCAAGAGATATTGAATTCTTAGTGCCACTCTTCAACGTCACATTTAGGGCTACACTGTTCGAACTCTGCTCAAATGAAATTTCTTTAACTTAGATCTCCATTTCGTTGCTCGTTGAATTCTTAAAAATTGAGATTCGAGCTCGAGTTTGAATTCAAACAAATCGAGTTCAATCAAAAGATTAATCGAACTTAATTGAGTTCAATAAAATTTTGAAGTTTGATTTTTTTCTTTTTGGTAAATTCCATAAACTTTGAGCTTATAAGGTTCAATAAGTATTTGAGTTTTGATTTTGGTTTGTTATCATTTTACCCTTTTAAATTATATCATTGCTATCAATTTACTCTCCAATGTTATTTTTCCATCACTTTACTCTAATAAGTAATTCAACTCAACATGTTACTTTCTTAAACTATATCACTATTATCAATTTCTTATTTATATTTTTTTTAAAAAGAATTGATCTCTCTCTCTCTCCCCCCCCCTCTATCTTTCTATTTTTTTCAATATTAATAAGATTGCGAAAAAGAAAGAGATCAATACTTTGACTTTTTGTCTCGATACTAAAAAAGAAAAAAATCACTCTAAATTTTTTATTATTTTCATTATACAAAAAAGAGGGTACTTTCTTTTAAAATTCTTCAACTTGCTATGTGTGTTTAATGGTGGGATAAATTGTATAAAAAATAACTCTAGGGGGTAAATTGATAATAAGGTTATAGTTTATGAGGTAAAGTAATACTAATTTTAAGAGCTAAATATGTCTTTTCACTTGATTAACAAATTTCGTTAAATTTGACAGTTAGTTTTGGAGGTAAAATAATTAAAAAGTAATGTAGGTACAAAATGTTAAGGGGGTAAAGTGATAATAACCCTTTGATTTTTCCTATTTGTACTTGATTCGAATACCTTATCAAGTAACTCGAATTCCACTCAAACTCGATTAACATCAAATTCAAATCGAATCTTGAACTAAGCTACTCGTGAATTTGAGTCGAGAAGCTTGGTTAAATTATACCCTGACATATTCTTATTTCTCCAATTGCCGTCTTAGCAATGGCTTTATTAGGCTTTCCTTGATTGTTTTGGTTATCATGGTTACTGGATGATGTTTTGCTGCCTAAAATCCTACCCAGACCAAGGCTCCTGATTCTCTGAGGTCCGGCGAGAAAACCTGACAATTGTCATTACATACTATCGGCAAAAAGCAACCAAGAATGAAAAATAAGACAATACAAGATGTTAACCTCAATTCATGATGACTATGGACTCAAATGGAGGCCGGACAAGTGATTTTCAAGCATAGAATACACATGGTGTTAGAATGCCTTATCAAAAAAAAAAAACCAAAACCTCAAAATAATTTAATCAGATTTTTAATTATTATTTTCATTTAAAAATTATGAATATTTTTAAAGGTTGTAACAGTCATATTAATGTCGATTTGACCTTTTATAAAATGAATACGGACAAATATGATTATTACCAAAAGTTGTCTAAGAAATTTCAGTTACAATTCTTTTCATAAATGTGTAAAGTATGCAGTGGTTGTAAAAATCCTATTAACGATATAATGACCATTATTGACTGTACGTAGAATCTGTACCTGAAAAATCTGTGTTCAGACTACTTAATATCTGGACTTGTAATTCCTAAATTTGAATCTATCAACGGAGAGTATTTATAAGAGACACATAAGAAGGGAAGAGAAAAAAAAAATGTGGTCCACAGGTCAACCTTGTTTGATCAAAGGCTTTCATAAACAAGTCGAACTTCAAATCCTAATCAGTGTTCAAGTTGTGAAACAAGTCGAATTTCAAATGCTTTGAATGGAAATTTGGAGAAGTGCAGTTGGGTACGATTATTATGAAAAATAAAATAATCGGATCCAACCACATTAAAACACAACAGCACCTGCTCATGTCCCCTCTCCCTCTAAATGCAACCATGTTACAAGAGTTTGACACAAACCAACTAGTAAGTGACACATGGTGGGGTTTGGACCTGCCTTACCGTAGAAAATTATATGATATCTGAATCTGGATACATTATTTGTGGCCAATAAAAACCTAGTAGGATCACTTGTGAGAGCCAAAGCATGCGGAACATATAAACACCATCCACATTTTTGGCCTATTCTGATTAAAGAAAATGACAGAACCAGCATCGACTTCAGCAACAAAAAAGCTAGAAGGCAAAGTTGCGATAGTAACCGGTGGAGCCAGCGGAATTGGGGAAGCAACAGCACATCTTTTTGCTGAAAATGGTGTGAAGGCTGTTGTAGTTGCCGATATACAAGATGACAAGGGCCGACTCGTCACTGAATCCATTGGTTCACACCAGTGCAGCTATTTCCATTGTGATGTTAGTGATGAAAATCAAGTCAAGGCCTTGGTGGAGTGGACGGTTCAAACCTATGGCCAGCTTGATATCATGTTTAGCAACGCTGGCATAGTAAGTCCCTCTGATCAGACCGTACTTAACCTCGATTTCTCACAATTCGATCGTTTGTTTGATATCAATGCCCGTGGTATGGCTGTCTGTGTGAAGCACGCTGCACGAGTAATGGTGGAGCAGGGGGTGAAGGGAAACATTGTTTGTACAACAAGTGTGGCAGCCAGCAGGGGAGGAGTTATTCGGACCGATTACATAATGGCGAAGCATGCAGTTCTTGGACTAGTTAGGTGCGGGAGTCAGCAACTTGGAGTTCATGGAATTAGAGTAAACAGCGTTTCCCCTTCTGCCATTGCAACGCCGTTGACATCTAATTGTGTGCGAAGAACTAGAGGAAAGGATATTGGGAAGGTTTACGGGCCGCTTACTAGCTTGAAGGGAATTGCCTTGACAGTTAGACATGTTGCAGAAGCAGTGCTGTTCTTAGTTTCTCAGGACTCTGCATTCATCACTGGTCATGATTTGTCGGTGGACGGAGGATTGATTAGTCTTCCTGGTCCAAACAATTGATTGATTTTGTCTGCAAACGAAGTCGATGTCATCAGATGAGGTTTCCCTTATTAATTGGTCGCTGTATTGGGAGCCAGTGATATATTGTGGTCAATATTTCAGAAAACCTTCTTTGGATCAGCCATGGTTTTGTATCATTTTATTGACAGTATATCATTAGCTTTTGGTTTCAAAATATTAAGCAAAACCTTTACGAGGATGCAGGGAAAAGGTAAATCTCAACCAAATAATTCAATGTTTTAGAGTTGCTTGGTTTGATCACTTTGGTGTGGCGTCTTTGGGAATCTAAATGCTGTAATTTTCAAGTACTTGTCATCAAGAGCATTTTAACGGACTGTTTGTCTCAACCAAATATATATAATAGTTGTTACTTACAGAATTTGTTGGTCACATGTGAAAAATCTAGAGAAGTGGCCCCTGTAGTTTTGAAAATATCTTGGTGATGGGGAATTTTTAACCTCACTCGCTGCTGTCTAATGGGTACCCTTTTGATTTGATGCTTCAGCTCAGATAATTTTTGTATACGGAGTTAGTATCCTGTAAATCCCAGGTGGACCAGATTACTAAAGGATATTTACTTGGGTAGAACTAGGGCGTCAACGAATCTAATCAAGCTGATCAAGCTTCATTATTTTAATAATCAACTTTGTTTCACTTTGATTGATTATTTTAATAAATTTAAAGTTATGTTCAAGCTTTACTTATTTATTTGAGGCGAATTCAGATGAATTTTTATTTAACCAAACTCGAATTTAGTTCAAGTAACTTGAATTTTCAACCTGTAAATTCTACTTTTATGATAATCGAGTCGAGTTTGAAAGTTTACAATTCAAACTTGTCTTGATTAGTTGACAAACCAAGATCAAATGAGCTTCTGTCCACTTGAAGTCGATCTACATATTGAGTAGTTTGATTCGATTTTTATCCCTAGGTAGAACAGGCTTTCACACAGAAGAGCCACTTATGCTATCAACAGGAATCTGCAAACAAGAAAGGCTGAAATTCTAGCATTCCATTTTGTGTTGTAATAGAAATGATTAATATGTCTTCGTTTACATGGGTTCAGGACCTTATTGACTCCAAACTCTCAAAAAGAAAATTCCTAGATTCCCTATTATATAGGACACACTGCATCTAATTACACAAACTGGAGCATTTCTGTGACAAAGATTAGATTTCTGTCCCGTATGATAGATATTGCCTGAATAAGCAAGATGATCAAACAAGGAGCTGAAGAATTCCTAGATTAGGAAGTAGGAACTCTACACCTTTGAGGTGTCGAAGTCAATTTTACATCACACGGGCTAAGATTTGTTATTGTACAAAATATAGAGTGCTACTCTAGTGGAAGATTCCAGTAGTGGCACTATTCGTACTTCATAGTCTTAACCTAAGGGCACCCAATATTTCACGGAAAACAGAACTGCAAGGGGATTTAAACCACCACCTATTAACAGCAAAATATAATATGCATATTTTGGACTCTTTCAAGTTTCACATTTAGCAGATTTTAGATCCTGCGGGTAGGATTTTAAATGTTCTTTCTTGACCAACAGAACTATAGTTACATGGATCGAAAATATCGATGCACTGGATGCCCTTGTCCAAAGTGGTCGTATGAAAGAGCATCCATTTTGAAAGTTTGTGAACTTAATTTTGAAGGGTCTCCCTCCGTGGTTTCATGCTCGACTACATAACTCCCTATAATTTCAATATGACTCACATAACCTGACTATGGTTACATGGAATGTGGAATGTGGACGAAAACATCCCTCCATAACGTCTAAATATGAATTCTCTAAAATGTCCCCATGTATATACCAAAGAATAAGATCCAGCAGCCATCCTTGAACACTTAGGAATTTTCTCCTATTCTTCTTAGAGAGAGAGAGTGAAAAACCGAAAGAAAATCAACAATAAAGGGCTGCGTAGCAAGATCGAAGTTGGAGCTAATATCGAATCAAGGGTTTTCTGTAGTAGTAAAACATCGCATAACACTGATTTGGTAAGTCAATACTACTTTCTTTTTTAATCTGATTTAACGATTTTAGAGTTTTGGTATTTCAAGGTCTGAATTTGGAAGTTTGAAATTTGAATGGCTAAATAGCTTTCGTACTGGTGTTAGCATATTTTTTTTAATTGCAGATCCAAGGTTTCATGATAATTTTCTTAACTCCCTGTGATATGGAATGATATTATGGTCTAAAATTTGTCGGTAGCATATCAAATTTTGTGTTATTTCACTAGTCGGGTATTATACTGTTGTGTACACATGCACGTAATTAAACAAATTCTGCCAAAAAAAGTTGGTGAGGTAGTAGGTATAAAGTAATATCAGTTGTTTATTTTTTGGGTAACACTGTGGTCCCTAAGCAGCTGTTGATGTTTAGTATTAAGTGGTCCACTGGGGGTAACCACCAGTCATCTGGCCGATGACCATCACCAATGCATTAAGGCTTGGTTCATCTTGCTTTCCATTAATTTGTCACAATTACATGTGGTTTTACTTAAAAAATTCAGGCGGATGCATAGTGCACCATGCATCCGCCTGAATTGGTGGTAGTTCAGTTCTTTTTGAGTTATCCCAGGACCTCTTCAGGTCCTCTCCCTTTCCATAATATAGAAAGCTATCGTATTGACCAAAAAAAAAAAAAATCCACTGGGGGTAATAATGTAGTATTATTGGCTGGTCCTTGAAACATGAATGTGTTTTTATATATTTTGACAAGTTGGAAGAAGACAATTACTTATGCAGACATTTTGTCATCTATAGGCTTTGATAACATGAAAAATATGCTGACGACCACCCCTCATATAGGTGGAAGGTTTACATGAGAACCTGAGATCTCATACAGTGGAAACAGGATAGAAAAGTTAAGTAATAATAACCTTAAAAAGAAGTTAACTAGAGCCTGTCTATGTCACTTGTATTCTAGAGTAGCAAAGAAGCAAAGCAAATTGAGATTTGGTATCAAATTCCTTTTCATAGTTTGGACGTGGAGGTAGCCAAAATTAACAATGACAAGGACATTGTCACACTGCTAAAGTTATATGCAGGGCTAAAATACATGACCTTATATGTTGAAAGATGTGATGATGACTAATGTTTTAAAACTTGGACCGTTAATTGAACCGACGTGGTGTTTGGATCGAGATTCAATCGATTAGATCGGTTCAACCCTAGTTTAATGAATTTTTTTTAAAAATAATTTATATAAATATATATGCACAAAATAAGACATGCAATGGACTAATTTAAAACTTTATATGATGAAAAGTTTAATATTTTCAAAGAACTTGAATTTTCACAAATAAAAATTTTAAATTATAAGTTGAAACAAATAAATTTCATCTCAATCTCAATTCTATCTACCAAAAAAAATAATATTAAATCCAATCCAAAAATACCATAATATTATGAAATTATACAAAATTCACGTCTATGAGAATTAGACATTGTGAGTTTAAATTTTAATTCACTTTTTTAGGATTTAGAGATTGCAACTTCAAAAAACAAAAAAGTTTGGAGTTAGGAGGAAGAGGCAAAAAAAAAGTGAGTGGATGTGGCATTTAATAATTAGTCTTTAAGGTTCGGGAAAACCTATTCATTTTTTTTCAATTTCATAGACAAAAAAAAAATCACCTATTCAATGGTTCAATCCAGTTCGAATATTTCTTACCGGTTTTAAGTCTAATCAAACTAAAGTATGAATTGAACCAGAGCTATGAACGGTTTGCGATCTGACCGGTCGTACCGATTGGTCCGATCGGATTTTCAAAACAATGATGATGGGCTACCTTATGTGAAGATTATTGCTGAGAAGTCAAGAGAAAGTGATGTCTCACAAGACTTAGTCTTTCTGAACTCAAAGGAAGAAGTAGGGGACAAGACAAAGATAACAAAAGACGAAGGACAAGAAGAAGGCGATAATGTTTTTTCAGATTCTGCCAATAGCTATTGTGTTAGACATCTCTATCAAAACTTTAAGTTGAGGTTCAAAGGAATGGAGTTAAGAGACCACTTTTGGGTAGTAGCATCTACAGGTAACATACATAACTTCAAGAGGGCAATGGTTGCATTGGAGAGGGCTGATCCAAAACCAGGAAATGTACTTAATGCAGCAGAATGGTTGAAAAGGGTGCCTCCACATTTATGGTCAAAGGCTTACTTTACATACGACTGTAAAGGTGACATTTTAGTCAACAATTTAAATGAATCTTTCAACTACATACTTCCAACAAGGTCACTTGCCATTATCAGCGTGTTTGAGTAGATAAAGGAAACTAATGAAGATAATTCAAATTAAGAAGGCTAGAATGGAACAACTTGGAGGTGCTATTAGCCCGAATATTCAAGAAAGACTTGAGAAGAACAGGTGCTCAACTAGGGTTTTTTTTTCGTAATATTCCCATCCAGGCTAATATGAAGTAGATTGTGGTGTTGATAGGGTTTTTGTGGTAGATTTGAAGAAAAGATCCAGCACATGTGGACTGTTCCAGTCAATAGGAATTCCCTGTTCCCATGGAGTTATAGCTATTCAAACAACCAGATTATCTTCTGAAGATTTTGTTGCTAGGTGCTACAGCAAGGACACCTATTTGGCTGTGTATAATTACCACATTTCTCCTATGACATCGATGCATTATTGGGATGGCCACCCAGAAGCAGAGCAAATTCTTCCACCATTTGTGAAAAAGCAAGCTGGGAGGCTTAAAAAATTGAGGAGAAGGCAAGCTGATGAAACCACAACCTCATCCACATCTACAAGAAAATGGTTAACTGCTCATTGCAAAAGGTGTTTGAGGCCCGGACATAATTCTAAGAGCTGTAAACAACCAATTCATCCAAATAGGAAGTTCTATAGAGTATGCACTCATTTTGATATTAATTTCAGTCATTATGTGTTACATTAATTTACTGACTTTGGGTGCATTTTAGGGTCCAATAGGGTTTGTTGTACCTTCAAATGGTGTTGAACAAGAAGTTAACAATGCTGAACATAGAGTTCAAGAAGGATTTGATGTGAGAATTGAAGCTTCAACTACCATACCAACTACAAATGCTGCTAATGTAATTAGTAATCTTGATAGAAAAAAGAAGACCCCACATGCTGGACCCTCATCCCAGCCTCCTCTTAAGCAAATTTATGAGACAAACATGTACGTGCCTCAGTCCATCTCCCAGGTATTAACTTGATGAAATTTGTATCACATTGGAAACCAAAAAGTTCACTAACGTGAAACTTGTTTGAATGTTTTTTTGGTGATGCAACCTGTTGCAAGTGAAGTGAATCAAACCACTTTTCAAGCTACTGGACGAATTGGTGAAACACATTTGGAGTCTAGGAGGACATCAAGGATACCAAAGCCTACCCC